TTATAGAAAACAAAAACACTAGGTGCAAAACGCAAATATAAAAATAATAGTAAAATGCTGAAGAAATGGAGTGAGGAAGTGCAAGACCTTGTGAATGATAAAAAAGCTTACTTAAAATATTTGCAGACCAACACATTGGAAGATCGGTTGGACCATAAAAGGGGTCTATCGCGAAGAGAAAAATTAACAAATTAAAAAAGGAAAGTTGGAATAAGTACATCGTAGGCATAGAACACCATGTACTCGGTGTGCAAAATATGGTCTACAAAATAATGAAACATTTAAAAAGAGATGAATGACACCGCTAGAATCTAGAATAAGTGAAGACGAATGGTTAACGTACTATAAAAACTTATGGACAGATACAGGAGAAAAACTCGCACTTATAGACCAGATGCCGAACCATCACATGTAGACCCAATTGAGCTAAAAGAACTAGAAGAGGCATTGGAAAGTTTCAAGAACAAAAAAGACCGTGGCTTATACCGATGGAATCAGTATAGAACTTTTTTAAATTTGCTTCAACAGAAACGAAAGAAAGATGTCTATATCTTTTCACCGGGACTACACGACTACACGTAAAATACCAGAAGAATGGAAAGTGGACATGATATCCATTTTCAAGAAAGGTAAAGGAGAAAACAGCAACAACTACAGAGGAATCAGCCTTCTGAACAAAGCTTACAAAATTTACGCTAAAATTATAACACGACGAATGGATGCCATTAACGAAGTTATTCTTGGAGAAAAACAATGTGACTTCACGAGAGGACGATCATGGGCAGATGGTGTCTTTGTAATGGAGCAGTTAATACAGAATCGTAGAGAATTCAACCTACCTGCATTTTCTTCGTAGATTTTGTAAAAGCTTTTGACTTCGTGTCCAGAAAAAGTTGTGGGAAATTCTTAAGATTCAGGGAATTCCAACCCTTCTGATAAAAGTTATGAAAAGCTTGTATAGTCATAATAAACTATGTATTGAGATGGGAACAAAAATTGGGAGAAAAAGCGATAATAGAGGAGTAAAACAACGATGCCCACTGTCCCCTGCACTTTTTAGTTTATATATTGACAATGCCATAAAGATGTGGCAGAGACCTTTATCAAACGAAAACAGAGTTTCTGTTCCGGCTTAAGAATTTTATTTGGTGACAAAGAGGTTATTTTGGAAAACTCAAGAGGGTAGGTTGCAGAATGACATATATACAGTGCAAAATATATCGCAGAAATCTAAAGTAATGGCTTTTGTGGGCAAATATCATTTTAGGTGCAAAATAGTTGCAGAAAACATCACACTAGAACAAGTGTCAAAATTTAACTACCTCGGATATAACATCTCTTATAGAAGAATAACATCTATAAAAAAATCAATACATTTCAGGCAATGTGTGAACAATAAAAAGAAACCTTAAGAACAAAGAAAGAGAGGAGACACAAATGAAATTTTACAAGGTGATGGCGGTTCCTGTACTTCAATATGGTTGCGAAAATTGGAGCAAGAATCTCTCCGACAGAAGGAAAATTGAGGCTGCTGAAAGGAGACTTTAAAGATCTATTGCAGAATATACGCTTCTAGACCACATAAGATGCGAAGACATCAGACACAAACTGAAAATGTTCAACTTCAATACGAGAATACAAGTACGAAAAGAAAAATTGTTCCATTATATCTAATGAATGACTGGTGAGAGACTATCAAATAAGCTCCTCCACAACGCATCTGAAGGAACTCGAGATCCAGGTAGACCTAGAAGATGGAGAGACGATCTTCTCGGCGACGGAACAGGCCATTCGGCCTAGTGCTTGATGATGATGATGATGATGATGGTGATTTACATCGAAATAATTATTACCTACATTAAAGTTAAATATTCATTTGGAAAAAAATTCAGAATGTTCATAAACACAGTCCGAAAAATGTTCGTAATTTTTCACGGAGTGCAGAAACGTCCAATAGAAAGTTAACCAGAATTTAACATAATTTAACTATTTATTTTTCACTATATTTATTGTAATAAATATACGGTTATTTAAAAATATAAATAAATATTGAACTTTTATCGCTTTTTAAAACAATGCTTGCAATTTCCTATGCCGAATTCAATTTTTGATGGTACAATTTCAAGTCACGTGCTTAAAATATTACTTGTTATCTCCAATGATTTCAATGTTAACATTTTTTGTGAAACATATTTTCAATATGTTTTGCTTGGCAAGTTTTAATGAACATTTGATGTCATTCATTTCCTGCAATACAACTGATACGACTTGATAGTCCAAGTGGCAGAAGAAAACAGTTTTGGTAATATTTTGGCTTAGCTTTTACACACATAAAGTCTTGAAGATAGACAACATTTTAGTGGTTCATACATATTGTTATATGATCCTGTATTGTTACACGTTCAGGCAATGCAAGTAAATGCAACTTATTAATTGACAGCTATGTTCTTTAGTGGGTTGTTTATATTATTGCAAAAATGTGAAAAATCAACATAGGTTTCCACGTGAAACATCTGAGAATGACAGGAAATCTTATTCACTTCCTCGTTATTAGGGTCCAGCGTTAGTTTTTTTTTCTCGAAATCGTACGGCGAAAATCGCCGATTTTCGGCGTACGATTACAATTCTTACTCTTACTAAGTAGAGAAAGAATGTAAAAATTAAGAAACAAAATTTTAACCAAGGAAACGTCCGAAATTTTAGAATCAATTTTAAAAAGGATATGAAAAACTCGAAGTTAATTAGAATTGAAATTAAACAATTGAATGTATTTATTTACTTATGTTTATAGACACTTCCAACAACTGAAGTCATTGAGGCCTATGAATGACGATTAATGAGTACATAAAACCGAATATGATGAGGTGAGTGATAACAGAGTAATGGTGGAATGACAGGCGAAGGAAATAAGGAGAACTCTGAAGAAACTCTGCTGAGAGCTCGCATTACCCATCCCAGATTTACATGGTTTAGCTAAGGATTACACTCACGCCTCAGAAGTAGAACTTCTAGGCTGTAGGAAGTAGAAGTAGAACTTCTAAGGCTGAACGATTTAACCGCTAACTTTGTTCAGAGACAGACAGAGACACAGACGTTTTGCCGTTATTCGATTTTTCGGTATGAAGGACTCACAAAACATGACTTTGGGAAAACCACGTGATAGAGGATTTTTATTTTCAAAATGTAACAACTGGATTTATCCACTTTTTCGTTATCAGAGCACTGTAATAAGAGTTTTTCTGACGAATATTCGCGTTTTTTTTTTTCGAGCTACATTTCATAATTTTCTCTCTCTACTCTGTAGGAAGAAAGTAACTTTTAAAAGTTTTCAAGCAGAACTGACGAAACACAATGACAAGTTAATATGAAATTTTGTATTAGTGAGAAATAAATTAAAAATAAGCAGTCACATATGTACATTCTTATTATATATATATATATATATATATATATAAATATATATATATATATTAATTAATAAATAAATATTAGGGAGTTACTATTCACCAGATTTAAAAGGGGATAATCAAGATGCTGAGGTTATTAAGTGAGTCAATATCTACTGGGCAGCCCTTTCTATAATTACTCTCTCTAGAGTCCAAATAAATGTACCTGACATACATCATACCCATACTCGAATATGCTACTGTAGTTAAATCTCCTTTTATCAGAAAGCCAAGAGACTTATGTCACAGGAAGAAACCACCATTTCCAAAGAACTTTGTCATCTTGATTATGAAGAATGCTACAGAAAATGTCACTTTTGACAATATAACAGAGATGGACTAGCGGCGATATTATATAAAATTGTTAATGGATATTAAAATGACCCTGAATTCAACACCTTTTTGACTAGATCCTTTGATGACATGCAAAAAAAATTGTTAAAACAAAGGATATGGATCGGGGTGTTTCCTCTTCATTATAAACACTATTGCCATTGCATACACTAGCAGAATGTATTGAAAAGGAAAATCCCAACTCATTCAAGTAGAGCTTGGACAGCTACAACTCCATGATTAACGATCATTAAAAGGATATTGAAAATACGATTACATATAATTTGTTTAATCTAATGATTTATAATTGACATAACATATATTAAATCACTATAGAACTATGTTTGTGGCTTGGCACAAGGGCCAACATCAATATTCAAAGTCTCACAGAACGAGTGGTTTTCTTGTTCATTAAAATGACAAAACAATCGTAGGCCAATGTAAAGTTTGGTAGTAAAATCAGATAGGATTTACTTTTGAAAGTGCCTTTCTTGTACTGGAGGGGCTTTAAAGCATATATTTTCTCTACAAACCAAAAATCACTAAAAATATATTGGCCTTTCTTGCACCAAGCCAGACATATTACCAGTGTTGTAAGATATAAGCATGTTGCAGCCATCAATAATGATAATAAAGATAACAGTAACAAAGATATTAAAAGCAAAATAATATTTCAACCACTTAAACAATTCTCAATTTCATGGACCATTAACTTCCATTACTGATTTCAAAGAAAGATGACTGGTTAAGAGAGGGCCAAATGATGAACATCTATGAAAGCAGACAACCTACCTTAGATGAAGTTATTTATTTAACATAAAAAGATTGAAACTGTGTATGACATGGGGGATCAATATGTGCAGATTTTTTTGGGCTCTGAAATCCCTACTCTAGCTCTTCTATTATACTGGAGTTGATTATTAATACCGGTAGCAATGAGCAGTTTTGGCAACACGAAATATTATCTCCTGCAAAATAAAAACTATATGCAATAACTGCTCACCTATCAATTTTTACTAATTTCTCAATGAAGTCTCATGAATCAGTTACTTAGCAAACAAATTTTAAGTAATGACAAGGAATCTGAATCCTACAATCATTATAATGACAATTATCAAAAGACACCTCTTAAAAGTGATTGCAGATTTAAATAGGCTAATTTTGAAACTTCTTTGAAGCTCCATTAACAAAGGCAATATTCTAGAAATACAATGATTTCACCTTGCACACAGTCTAAACAAATCATCCACAGTATCAGGATGGTTCTTCAATCCATTTGTTTCTTGCAAAACTCTCATTGTTGGTGCTATGAACGCCTGAAGCATATCCAATAACCCCTGCACACAACCAGGCTCTGATCCATATTCATCGACCAGTATACTTCCAAGATACAAAAAACAACTGTGTTGATTCACCTGATAGAGCATCACAATCTGAAACAGAATATATAATCTCCATTAAACAAATCGTTTCAAACAAATTGAAAGAAAAGGAACATATCAACAAATAATAATAATAATAATAATAATAATAATAATAATAATAATAATAAATAAAGTTCGGACCCTAGATTCTATGTTAAATTTCATTAAAAATGGCGGATTCAGTTTTTTTCTAAAAGAAGAAAACTTCTTTCGTCCAAGAAAACGGGTTAAATGTCGCTTCCGGGCGCACAATTCACTGCCGCTGGCACAGAAGCCATTGTTTAAGGCATCTAAAACGTTGCCTCGTTACTCTTGAGTTAACGGCAGAGCCACCCAAAGGTGGAGGGGCAGATAAGCGCAATCTGCCCATTGCATTTTGTCATTAAAAAATGAAGAGCTGCAACAGCCCTTACTTTCTCGCATCACAAACGGTTACATTAAAATTATAATTCCATAAAATTATAATTTCCGTTCAGATTAACACATTATTTTAGACATCACTTATAACAAGCATTACCTGTTGTAGCGCAATAAGCCCGAAAACTTGATCTAATACATAAACAAAAAATCGATAATATAGTTCCATTTACATACAAACACCACCAAACCATGAGAAGTTATTTTGAGAATTTCAAACTGCGTTCACATTATTGCAATGTAACCTGATAACCGTGGTGTTAAGAGATTGGTGGGATCTTGCGCATCGTATCAGACTTCAGCAAATGGGCATTAGACAACAGTGTGTGCCACAATATTAGCGGGAATTTTAAATATCAAAATTATAACTTTGACACAATTTGACACTTTGACAAAATTATCACAAGCCATTGAAACAGATATATGAAGCACTGTTTTGTAACCATTGCATCGTTTATTTCAATTACACCTTTGTGTCATTTTTGGTTGGTCACCGTTGAAAATTGTCACTTTATGCAACTTGCAAAGTGTTTCTCAACACTTCTCCCTCTCCATGCAAAATGGCGGCCAACGTCTGGTCTGTCTTTTAAACGAAGTGCCCGAGTTGTGGACAAGTGGTTCGTGATGTAGAACGCAGACGCACAAAAATCGGTGCACCGAAGGAGCCCACCCATCTCTTTTCACCACACTGATAACTCCTGAAAGATTTTAGCACAAGAAGTGAGGGAAATTCGAATCTGCAATTTCGAATATTCACATCCCGCTAAACTACTCACATTTTTAAAAATATGTACGTGATCACTTTTAATGAGCTGATTTTTTAGACAGCTTTCACTCCACAAAAATATATCTAATATGTTTGTACTTTTGCTATGCTAATTTTTTGTTGTTACCAATATACGAAAATGCAGAAAGTTTGCCGAAAATAGGACCAGCACCACTTTCTTTACGGTTCCTTGTTACATACGGGGAGACAAATTAAAGAAAAGAATTGGAGTCGCTTTACACAAAATAATAATTTTTAGATATTTTAAAATTGTTTTTAGAAGGCATGTATGCTTCACACAAAGATACGCAAAAACTGCTCGTATTTTCGAAAAATTGAACATTAGTTTATTTCAAGATAAATAGATTCCATTATGAAAAACATTTCTATCATTAATATTGTAGTTGTGGAGAGACGCTGAAAAACTTTTCTTTTACCATTTTCGAAAATCCAGGGAGTTCAACGAAAACTTAACCGGCACAACTTTCTCTACCGCCACTTGCTACACAGAAGGAAAATTATTGGAAAAAAAAAATTGGAGCGGTTTTGAGAAAATAATAATTTGAAAATTGCCACAAAATCAACTATTTTCGGAAAAAATTACATGAACATTTTCCATGATGTCTTTAAGCAACAAATTTTATTTTTTTTTTCAAAAATCTCTGGCTTCAACGTTACAGCTGAAAGGACATGCCAAAATAATTTAACTTTTGTAATTTTCAAAAATGCAGGTACATAACGGTAATGCAAATGCCCCTTCTTTAGGTGTATTTTGCTCTATCAGAGGGAAAAAATTGGAGCCATTTTTGAGAAAAGTTTGCAAATGTTGAGGCTTCACGTAAAGTACTCCCCCCCCCCAATCAAAATATCCGTTTCAAACTCTGAAGGTCTCCAATTCTTTCAGATTGATCAGAGAATTTCAATACTTGAGAAAATCATCTGAACGGTTTTAGTGATGATCACAGATGGACGAACAAATAAAACGCTCGATATTTCGGAAATAATGTCCCACAAAACATGAATTCTGATTACACCCATGTTAGAGATAGTAATTTACTACATACACAAATAATGATATCTTTACCAGTGCCCGACGACACGAGTTTTTCTGTCAAAACAATCGCCGATATCAAAACAATCACCGATTTCAGCATCACTACAATATGTTCTCTTTCTCGCAAAGTGAGAAAATAAAAATAACTGGATGTGCCATTTTCAATGCAATTTACAAAGAATTAGGTGCATCTTTTGCCACGGTTGCTTAGGGACACCTGTATATTATAGATTGTTGCACTTGAAATAAAACATAAATCTCCTTTCAAAATTAGTCGATAGAAATTCCGTAACGGAATCGAAAATCTCAACTACACCTAAACTGGCTAAAAAGGTATATCAGGATTTATTTTTATGATGAAATTAACTATTTTTAGTGTCACGATGTACTGGAATTTCTTAGAGTTTATATTTACTCTAAAATTAACTCAGAAAGTTTGATAGAAAATGTGTTGTATTTAATTTATTGTAGAATTAAATTTAATTAATAGAAAAAAATAAGAATCCTTAAAGTGTGGATACAACTGACTTAATGACTTAATACCCAAACATAATTTAATTATTGAATTCAAAGCGTATGTTATATAAGAAGAAACAAATTACATCGAAATAGAAAGAATAAAACTTTTTGAACGACTAATCCGGACGTAAAATTTTGTTTTCATGAAATTGTAATGACCTAATCTCTTTAACCCTTAATACTTTTTATATTTGGGGTTAGAGCCATTCTCTAAAACTTTGTAACTGTTGATTCATTTTGTTCTAAAAGCTAGTAATCTTCATTAGTCACTTGGACCCGAGCCATATATACATAATTTAGTGAATTGGATATAACTAATAGTGCTAAAACAATACACTTTCTCACCCTCCTAATAATGATTACGTAATACTATTTATACCGCAATTTCTCTCCGAATTAACACATCTCAGTCATTATTGTTTGTAAAACGCATGACAAACTGTAGAACATTAGGTGTGGGCCCCTCGTTCTGTAGTCAGCAGACACACAAGGCCTTCCGCGACAACACAAACATGAAAGACAAGGGACAAACAACAATGCCCACGGCGGGACTCGAACACGCGACCCTTCAGACAAAGGCGTTGAGTCGGCACACGCTTCAGTTGCCTCGGCCATCCAGGTCGGCGACAATAACATAACTGCGTTTCATGAGTTAAATCAGGCCTCAACAATGAGACTAGTTCACATAACTAGAGCTGCCGCCTCGCGGGGCGGGATGCCATTATCGTATTCCAATGGTCGAATATAAAAGTGGTGAATTTCGTAGCCTTAAAATAGGTAAAGTATGGTAATCTAATTGTATATATAAGTTTGCGGCTTAGATTTATTACTTTAAACACAATGAAATTCTTTCGCATTTAATTAGACACATTAAAGTACTAATTAGAATCGAATACCTGTTATTTTTCAAATAAATACGTGACTTAAATTAAATCATTTAATAAACTTACAATAAAAGGATATTTTTTAGGAGATACTTCATACATTAGTCTGAGTTCTTATCTATTTATTTATTCTCATATTTACCACCCATTTTGATACGCATTCGTGACATGGCTACTATTCGCCATACACTTTCTACTCTATACATTTTCACATCCGACCTACTGAAAGCTTACACACATATAAACAACAATTTAGATTTACATATCCTAAGGCTCGGAAATGTTCGAAACCCAGACGGTTGGACAATAGGCAAAACCGCAGCACCTTCTAACCGTCCATCACCGAAAGCAAAAACACAATAACGACTGAAAACAGATCTACTTTAGATTATGACAATGAGTTTCTTTGCGTCCCCAATCCTCACTATCCCTTCTCATCACTGACACGTCCACACACAAACCAACGCAAACAGGCTGGCAAGCGCAAAGGAACAAAAACACGTAGTTTCGCAACCTGGCCCACATGTACACAGGGACATTCCCACTGAGCCCATCAAAAAGGTACTGATTTTAGCAGACACCAGCGACAATTTTCCTCCCTGCACAGTGGGAAACTCCCATCCAAATCCTCAGTCACGGGTGTGTTTAAACTTAACGGGAGGTTTGCCGACGTGACCGCTGCGTTGGACACCCACACAAAAACTCTCACTAAACGGGATACAGCCATCATCATAGGAGGGCAGAATGACATCGAATTTGGGTGGTCACTTTAACACTGACAAAATGTTGACAAACTACAACGAGCCGCCAAAACACGAACATATAGTCTCGACTCTACCCTTCTGGTACAACAAACCAACATTGTGCAAATAAATTAAACACGCAAACAACCAATTGAAACTGCATCTGAGAGACACACATGTTAAATTTGAGCTTAACTTTCTCTCAGAAAAACACTTCACCCGGCATGGTCTTCACCTGAACCTTGTTGGAAATCATGCACTCGGTAGAGAGATTCCATAGCACATCCTTTCACAACCTCGGCAGTGTCCTGCCCAACACCCATCCCCACCTACATCTCCAAGATCTCTTTGGACCCAAATACCTTATCCCTTGAACCAAATCCTTTTACTACATCTCCCATTATTCATTTATCTACATTTGTCGCATCTCTTTCCTCATCTCATGTCACTGCAGGGGCACGATACTTCCTTCTACCAAGCTCTCGAGATAAAAATGAGATAAATGAATAGCAACAACAGTAAAATGCAGCAGAGAAACATCCGTGTAGGTACATGCTAAAAATTCAAATAATGCATCATAATGAAAAATCTCTTTCGAATAAAATTGAATTTACCGAGGCAGCATT